GGTCTCTTAGTATAAGGTTAGGCTAGTACACATTTTAGTAATAGTTTGTTAAAGTTAGTAAAAATTTTGATGCTTTCAGGAGTGTACTTCACATAGTTATAAACAATCTATGACATTTTGTTAACTCTAAGAAGTATGGTTTTTTAAAAAGTAGATTAATTAAGTCTACGGTTTCTGTCTTATCCCAAAATAGCTTTTAATGTTCAAAGTGAAGTTCGCATCCTGAGGTCCACAGAATTACTATAATTCATGAATAAAATTGGGAGGGCGGGGGTAATCCATGAACAACCTTAAATGAAATTTTCTTTCTGGGGAAAGGATCTCAATATTTCATTAGTTTTGAAAGAAGTTTTTTGTCTTCCAAAGGTGAGGAACATTTGGCCCTGAATGTACAAGGCTGGGCAATCCTCTGGAAAACACGGTTGGGGGCACAAGGGTCTCCTTGTTCTCACGTGGCATGGGGTGTCTGGAGATCCTCTCTAGTGCTGGACTCCACAAGGTTGCTGTACAGAGCTAATGCTGATGGAGACAAAAATAAACTGTATATGGCAAGATGAAGGCTACGGTCAGAACCCCAATCAGGTAGCCAACCCTGTCAAATTAGCAGCTCAGAAAGAAAGAAATGATAAAGTGGGCATCAAGGCACCTAAACTTAAAAGAGTAATGTGTGCATTTCAACAATCTATAGCTCAGGTTACAACATCAAAGACAATAATAATTAATATGTGTTTTCAGACATGACTGTATCATGGAAAATTTATTTTTTTATTGTGTTGTCATGAGAAACATCATAACTTAGACAGCAGGGGCTGGATCTGGATTAACCATACGGTTGTGGAAGGTGAGCATGCAGTACACAGGGAAGAGCACGTCAGGTCTGAGCCTCTTTCTTGGGGGACCCCATGCACAGATGACTCTGGAAAATGCTCACTTACAAGTGAGGAGGGATGCTCAGGGCTGGGCAAGCCATGTCTAGAACAGACTCACAGCACTTTATTCAGTACCAGCCCTGCATGGTCTTTCCATGAGTTATCTGAATCTTGAAGTCAGTTTTAAAATTAAAACTGAGCAGGAGCTGAGAGCAGTGGCTCATGCCTGTAATTCCAGTGCTTTGGGAGGCCAAGGTAGGAGAATCCCATGATTACAAAGTTTGAGACCAGCCTGGTCAACACGGGGAGACCCCAACTCTACAAAAAATAAAATAGAATAAAATAAAATATATTAGCCAGGCATGGTGGTATGTAACTGTGGTCCCAGCTGCTTTGGAGGCTGAGTTGGGAGAATTACGTGAGCCCAGGAGTTTGATGCTTCAGTGAGCTATGATCTCACTACTGCACTCCAGTCTGAGTCAAAGAGTGAGATCATGTCTCTAAACAAAACCAAAACCAAAATCAAAAGAACACTTATTCAGGGCCCCCATGGCTGGCACCGTGAGGCCAGCAGGTGTTCTCTCCAGTCGGTTCTTGCATGTGTGGCTTTATCCAGCTTGCAGGTCACATAGTCTCCAAGGTTGTATTTTGATTGTGAAATATGATCACTTCTGGGCAATGCTACCCACCTGCACGCTATTCTGCCCTTCACTTGAGCCTGCTTTTGAAATCTCCACTCTGCCCTGCCTGACATGCAGTAGCAGACATGACTTCCTCTCCTTTGAGCCCCTGGTTTTCTAAATCATAAATCTTGAATGTTACTGTTGTACTAATGTCTGGTCAGTCAGACATGATGAAGTTAATACTGGGTCATCATATATTAGTGGCCAGACAGAAAACAATTAAACCAAGGGGAGATGGAAGAACATATTAATACTAAAAAAAGCAACAGGTCTGGCTTGAATGTGATGCCTTCCAATTTGCTGAAACATCACCTGTTATTATCAAAGGTCAAAGTCAGTTACTGCTGGAAAAATCAATAAAATTGAAGGTGGGTGGGAGGGAAGAGACCCAATAGGTAAATTTATAATATGTCCTTTGTAATGAAGGAACTTGGTGAACATGTGTGCATTATTAACTCTTGGAAATAAAATTGGTGGTCAGCGAATTGGACCATTTGTACATTTTCATAGGTTCCTGCTGTGAATATATTTTAAAGAATTATGTTAGTGCAAAATAGGAAAAACAGAGCAAGAAGACATTTAAAGATTGTGTCTGCCTGTTGGTCTTCATCACCCATTTTGTTGGCCTTTTGGGGGTACTAATGTTTTTTGTTTTTCAGCAAAGGTGATCCACGAACATATTCTACCTGTCCAAGCCAATTAGTGCAGATTATCAGTGATCTTGATTACTGGCTATCTAAGGCTATTAATCCATTATGCTTGTGGTATATAATAGAAAGAAGATTCTAGCTTTCTCAGCTGAACATCATGATCTGAACGTATTATTAATATGATATGTATAGTCTTGACTGTACACTAGATTGAAAATATTCATTCATTTTCCCTCCTCTCCCTGCACCACCACCAGCAGTGATGTTAGTACTGCCAGTTTGAGAAGTCCAATCTGCAGCCCACCTTGTCCAGGGAAAGGCTGTCATGACCTGGTAAACAGACCATTAATCAATGCCCTTCTCCATTAAGGGCAGACTGGTTGTCTACTGCAAACTGATTACATTTGCTATTTCTTATCTGCTTACAAATACATTTGCTCATTAACACTTGAATGCTGCCAGAGAGGGTTACTGAGCTATTAAATACCATTCACACTAATTCTGCAGAAAGTGACTTCTCTAATGACATTCCTCTTTAAAGAATAATCTCCTGCAGGGGGAGAGGGGCAGAGAGAATGGACAAAGGGAAGGAAGCCTGGTGAGGGGCCATGTATAGACTTGGGCGGTTTCAGTCTCTATTTTAGCTGTCTGTTTAGTCACATTAATCTAGAGAGGTCCTCAATATTGAAAATATGAATAAGAACAATTTAATGTTCTGTCTATTAAAGCATAGGTTGCTAATCAAGTTATTGGAGAGAGAAGAAGCTCAGGAGTATTTTGAGATTTTTACAATCAAATTTTCACACGAATTTACAAAAACTGTTCATTTCAAATTATCATAAAACACATTAAACCTGATGTTATGATGCTTACTTTAGAACATTCTGAAAACCACTAGAATGAACTTCAAACCCCTAACAACAGGTTTCTCTAAAGGTACTGATGAATTCCATTTGGAAGCAGAAGGGTTAGGAGGTGTCTAGGACCAGACTCTGACATGTGTCCTTGTCCTGTCCCATATGTAAAAGCTCAAGCTGAGCCTACCTTCCTGAAGACCTCAGCAATCCCTATGTAGTGGGGCCTGCTTTGTTCCAGGTTCACACTGGAAACTCTACAGATGACTTTGCATCTAGCTAGCAAAGTGACCTTGGAAGGAGCCATTACCAACTTCATGTCATAGATGAGGAAAGACAATGGGAGCTCCAGCAGGTCACCTAGACATGGGTGCAGAGTACCCCAGTGGTAATGTGAGACTGTGGACTCTGTGTGGTGTCACCCAGGTTCTTGGGGCAGCTGTGGGCTTGGGGCAGGATCAGCTTCCACAATGGTTCCATTTCAGCCATAGCTGGAGCTTTTCCACCCCAAAGCTTTGCTGTCCAATGCTACCACAGGAAATAACCAAATGTAGCTATTTCTATCAATATGACAATTTGAAATTCAGTTCCTCATTTGTAGTAGCTGTATTTCAAGTACGCAGGAGCCACATGTGACTTGTCGCTACGATATTGGACAGCACAGAGAACATTCCACCTCTGCAGAACGTTCTACTGCACTGTGCAGATCTAAGTGTCAGAATTCTGCTCTCTGGCTACAACTGCCTCTTCTCCTAACCTATGACTCATCAATGGGACCCAGCCTCACTCTGCTAGCTCCTTCCCTCTCCTCATGGTTCAGTGGACACCTGACTGCTCTTCTTCCAAGCCTGGACTTTCCAACCCCAGTTATCTTGGCATCCTTGATTCCCTTGGTCATTGACTTTCTGTGTACAGCCACCCACCCACCCCAACCCATGCCTAACCTTTGGCAGGTCACATCTTTTTGACTTCCCTGCTACTGTTCCTGGGATGTAGCCTATTGCTGCAAATAATGATCAAATAATAAAATGGGGAGAACATGTGTTATTCAGGCTTAACTAGGTCTTCTCTGCTTCTTACTCCTTCTTTAGTTCATCCCATATTGACTCACTGACTCATCCCTTAGGATGCCTCTTTCGCTAAAACCTCAGCTCCCTCATGACCCCCACTCTTTGCTGATGACCCATTTCACAGGTTGGGAAAATCACACAAAAACCATTGCCATGAGCTTCCTCAACATGTCCTCTAGCTTTCTTCTGTTTCCTTTAGCCAAGGTGACCCACCAACTGCTTTCCACCTGAAAGTACTAATTTCCTGTTCCCAGATCTTTGCTCACGATGTTTTCACATTTAGAAGGCCTTTTCCCAATCTTACCTCTGCCACAAAACTGTTTTTGGGTCACCCCACCTGAAAGCAACCCCTTCCCGCTCCAAATTTCCCTAACATTTTTTCTGTATCTGGCCTCTCACAGCTGTCACCTGGTACTGTACCTACTAAAGTACATACAAGTGTATGTGTGTACACTTGTATATACATACATACTAAACACGCTAAACACAACCACTGTGAGAAAGGGGTGCTTGCTGGAATCAGCCTGGCTCCCCAGCAGCAACAAGCACAGTTCCCTGGGTAGAAAGTACCTGGTGCATATTGATTGAATGGCTATCTATATATCTACTTTTGTAAATGTCAGACTTACACCTAACATAGACGGATTGAATTCAATAAAGAATTGATGGACACATTTCTCCTAATGATCTCAACATGAAGTTCTAACTAAACGATTACATGACCAGAACATCTGATGGGAAGACAAAAGTGTACCTGTTGATGGCTAGAACTGTAATAAATGTGCAGTATCTTCCTGAGAGAGGGTGAAGTGGGTATAAAACGATAGGAAGTGAAAAGAAACAAAGAAAAACATCAAAGTAGGAATAAACTTACCTTGGGTAGCAATGTAATGATTGGGTCGATGATAACCCTAAAAATAAATAAAAGAGAATATTTGATAAACATAAAATCAATAAACAGCAGAGAAGTCACACGCTAACTTTACTGAAATGAATGTGCACACAAATGCCAACAGTTGCATCACCTGAAAGTTAAATTGGCAGATACAGCACCATTGACTTTCTCTTAAAAAGTGAAGGTACATCATATACAACAGTTCTGATGCTTGCACCAAAGGTGTGGGTAACTTAATCATAACTGGTTATGAGATGATGGATGAACAAGAAATACTAACAACTTATGGATCCTCTCAAATAACATGAGCATTACTCTTATGAAGTGTGAACAGGTTAAGAATTTGCAACAGAATTTCACTTGTGTTTGGGATGTTATTGGCAATGTGCCAAGGGTTCAACACATATTCTGTCATATTGGTATAGACAGTTATATCAATAGTGATCCTCAAAACCATACTTAAAACACTGCTAATGCCATGATATGCTACTGTAGCAAGCGCCAGGAATTTAACGAGGCAGACATTCTGAAATGTATTTCATCCTCATTTCCTCTCTACACCCTACCCAAATCTGTTCCACCCACCGTCTTCTCCTCTGCATCCTTGACCCCTCTCTCCCTCCTGCACCCCGTAGCCAATCTGCCAGCAAATCCTACTGGCTCTACCTTCAATGTAGCTCAATGGTCTCTCCATTTCTCACCTCCACTGCCACCTCTGACTCCCATAGCCACAAAACAGGCTTCTCTGCTTCCTCTCCTGCCCACCTGCGGTTCATTTCCCTCCTAGCAGCCAGATCATGTCATGCCTTTGCTCAGATCCCTCTAACGACTGCCATTCTCACTCACAGAAAAAGCCAAAGTCTTTACAACTGTGTACCTGACCTGGTCCATGACCTCTCCCCCATATCACCAGCAACTCCCCAGGCCCATTTATGCCATGCCAATGCTCGCCTGCTTCCTTTTCTTCAAATTCGCCAGGCAAGTTCCACAAGGCCTTTGCTTGGGCCATTTCTCAGCCCAGAAGCCCGTCTTCCAGGTATCTATGTAGCTCAACCCCTTGTCTTCCTTACTCACTTGCTACCTTCTCAGTGGCAGTGACTACAGACACTCGATTCAAAATTGCTATCAGTGCCTCCAGGTCTGGTGCTCCTGAGTCCCCCTTTACAGCTTTAGTTTTCTCTGCAGTACATAAGACTTTCTAATTCACCACATAGAATTAACGTTTTAATTTATTGCCCATTTCTCCTAATTAAAACAGCATCTCCACTGGGTCAGAGGTTTTTTTTGGTTTTGGTTTGAAGTGTTCACAGTTTTCCTGCTAGCACCTAGAAAGGTAACTAATGCATGATAAGCACTCAATAAGATCTATTGACTAAGAGAATAAAGTGGCCCTCAGTATTGACTCTTCTCTCTTAAAATAAAATTCAAACTCATTAATCCAGCTTTTTCATTATTTTACAGCCTTTTTCATGTATGTGGCTTCCTTGAGTGGAATGTCTTCTCTCCTGCATCCCCACTTACTCACTGGTTAAGTCTTACTGAAATTACATCCGCTATGATGCCTAATCTGATCACAGTGACTCCTTCATCAGTAGTTCATGAAACACTTACTAAGAGCTCTCTATATTCAGGCATGTGCCAGGTGCAGGGGATATAAGATGCGTAGGACACTGTCCCTGTACTCAAGGACCTGGTAAGGACTGTAGGAGCTGGGACTGCAGGGGCTGGGATTGGAGTGTGAGCAGTCTCCCCGGAGCCTCTCAAGGGAAGGTGTGCTGCAGTTGACCTAGAGGTAAATGGATTGGAGACTTGTATTTCAGCTTCTCAGCTTCTGAGTTGGGAGACTGTTAAGAGGAGATAACTTGTCTGGAACACCTGAGTACTCCCAGGAGATACTCACTAAACATCTGCTGATTAAAGGAGTAAGTGCAATGCGCCTTATGAAGAAATCTTGCTTTAATAAAAAATAAATGAAACCTGGAACGGGTATGGTTTTGGTTGTTATCAAAACAGTCAGGGGTCTTCATCTGATGAATGAGATATGAACTATTCTTTAAATAATCATACCCCAGTCCCCATCCACAAATCTATAAATGAAAATGTCAAATCTGTCCAATTAGCACTAAGCACAACATTCTCATAGTTATTTTTAGGTAACTTTCTTAGAGATCGTGATGCTATTTACTTTTAGTAGCACTGAGTAATATTCAACCAAGAAAGCAGAACAATCCATATATATGCATCAATCCTGTCTATGGAAGTATTGATAGACTAAGAAATAGCGTGATAGCCAAGCATAGAGTATGCCTTCGGAATCACAAGGGGAGCAGAAATCTGTTTAATGTAAACTTGGGCCTTGGAGGTAACAGCAACTCTCCCTTGATTTTTCAGTCTACTTTTGATTTCATTCATTCTTTCAACTAAAAACATGCTGTCTCCTAAAGAATTTATTCTAATGTAAAACATTAAGTTAACATGATGCAGAATGAACAAAGAGGCAGTCTTCAATAATTAAACAGCCTACATATTTAATGACATGTCTTGCTTGCATTAGAAGTCCTGGTGAACAGCTGCAGACTACTTTGAAGACAACTTAAAAGTGCAGTGATGACAAGGGATTGCAAATCACCGTATTAGGAATTAGAGAGTTTTGTCCCATTAATATGCAAACAGATTTTTTAAGTGTCGAATAATACAAGTTGTTGACAAAAAAATGGAAATCACATTTTCTTAGTCCACATAAGCATGGGATGGCAAAGAAAGCACAGAAGGTTACAGAGAAAGTCACCAACAAATGGGCTGCCTTGAGAAAAGGAGTGACCGTACCTTCATGGTTAAGTTCTGTGGTGTGTGAGGCAATATTCATGTGTTTGCTTTTCGATTCAACCCAATGTATGTCCAACAATCGTACAGCAGACCAAGATCTGGTACAAGCCAGAATGGTTGAGTTTACTGAGTTTTATACTCTGATTTAATCATTATGCATTGTATATATGTATCACATGTAGCTTCAAAATATGTAAGATTATTACATACCAATTAAAAATGATAAAATACATACATCAATATAATTGCCATTGATATAGTCTGAGTTTGTGTCTCCTTCTATTGTCTGCAGCCTCACCCGGGAATGATCATCTGCAAAGGGAAGAAAATAACAATTTATAAAAGCAATCTGGTAGATGCCTCTGAGCCCCAGAATGTACGCATATTACATAAAGATCACCCACATACACTCTGCTTTAAAGATAAAGAATACTTCACACCTTCTACTTCCTATTTTGCTATTAAGACTGAAAAGGATTTATAATTTTTTACATTTTACAGTAAATCTCATTAACTTATTCTTTGATCATTAATGGGTCTAAACCACTGGCAAAGGTTTGAGACTTTTACATACAATCCTGTGAAACACAAACAGAATTAGTTATTGGATTGGAAGTTTGAGCAACTTTACTAAATCACATACAAACACTGAGATGTCGAAGGTTTCCTGCGACACCCAGCCTGACAATGATGATTATAAACTCACAGCACAGGCTTCTGGGATGTGCAGATACGATCCTAGCCTTAGTCACTGGTGAGTTCCTTAAGTCCTGTCTCTGTATCTGCGGGCATCAGCCAGCAAGAGCAAAGCTGTCGCCATTTACCATGTGACCACAGGTCAGGCAATATGGCCACCAAGCCTCAGCCTCCTCATCTGGAGAAGGGGATGACTATCTGCCTTAAAGTGGGCTGTATCTAGGATTCAATGAAAACACAAATTGTCACAGACGTACTATAGAGGATTCAGATTTATGGTATTAATTAACTATATTTAAATATTTCTTGAGTAAAAATATTTATCTGCAAATACTGCTGATATATCTCAAATATTTCCTTGAAAATGTATACTGTATTTTATTTATTTGTTACTTTAATTTCTTTTTTTTGGCAAAAATGAAGTCTAGCTATGTTGCCCAGGCTGGTTTCAAACTCCTGGCTTCAAGCAGTTTTCCTGCCTCAACCTCCCAAAAGCTAGGATTATAGGTGTCACAGCACCTGGCTCCAAATCCACATTTTCAAAAGGCATGTGCTTCATATGTTGTCACTCATAAATGGAAGCTAAGCTAAGAGGACACAAATGCATAAGAATGACAACGATGAACTTTGGGGACTCGGGAAAAGGCGGGAGTGGTGGAGAGGGATAAAAGACTACACATTTGGTACAATGTACACTGCTCGGGTGATGGATGCCCTAACATCTCAGAAATCACCACTAAAGAACTCATTTCAGTAGGTTTTGGGGGGACAGGTGGTGTAACCAAACAATAGCACCTGTTCCCCCCAAACCTACTAAAATAAAAAATGAAAAATTAAAAAAAAAAAAGAAAGGGATGTACTAACGACGTCCTAAGGGCAGAATTTTCCCGCACTGATCATTGCTCTATCCCTGGCCCTTAGATTAGAGCCTGGAACATAGCAGGTTTACCCCCAAAATATTTTTTGAAGAAATGAAAAATGCATTTTGTTTTTTGAAAAATATGTCCTTTAAAAAGTATTTACCTAAGTTACTGTTCCTTTTAGCAGAGGGACCCTTCTTTCCAATTAAAATATATGCTAAAACTCAGTATTCAGAATAGACAAAAGCCAGCTGCTCTGAAAGGCAAGCACAGGGGGGCCTGATAAGAACATTTTGCAAAACTTCACTTCCAATGTTGCTGGAGCAGTGGTGAAGACCCTGCTTCCAAATTGCTACAGTTTTTTTCTGATGCTAACTTTACTCAACATTTCATTTGGGTTTGTCGGTGAGAAATGAAGTCCACAGCTTGAGACACGAGTCAGGAGAGCTGCAGACGACAGACCACTTTATCCCTCCCCGGTCACTGGAGCAAGTATTGGCCTGGACCCATTCCTTGAAATGCTTATGGATGAAAGTCAAAATTTCACATTGGTTTCTGAAGTTTAACAACCTGTTGAGTAAGGGCAGAAGGAAATTGGTGTCAATTTTCTAACATCCCTTCCTGGACGGGGCTTTCCACTTCATGACATGTAGTCACATTATTTCATGTCAGTGCCTCACCATTAGTCGGGGTGCAATAAGTTTATCTGGAATGTGGTGACAAACTGGGCCAGAGAAGAAGAAAAGCTGAGAGGAGGTCGTGTCTTCCTGCTCTGCTTAAAGGAGACTATGGGATGTTCAAAAGAGACTACGATGAGCAAGTTCCAGGGTCGACTGTGTGGGTGAGAATTGCTGCTGGTGGGTTAGAATCCTCCACGTGTGGTTTTGGGCCAGTTACTTAATCTTTCTGTGCATCAGTTTCCTTAGCTGTAAAATGGAGAGGAAGAGTGCCTACCTTGTGGGATTACTATGAGCATTAAAATAATACACATAAAGAGATCAGAACAAAGCCTGGTATATAGGAAGCGATGGATAGATGTCAGTTATTATTATCACGTGCTATGTAGTTGACATCTACAATTTGCTTCTTGCTGCTTTTATAGACGATGTCCAAGCAGGTAACAACAACTCCAGGAACAGACTCACTTGCAGTCAGGATGTTTCCTCATGGCGACCTGCTTTAAGAACCAATTTTCTAGGACACATTCTGCTGCTTAAAGCCAGTGGTTCCCTATATATGTTTTGCCCCTGCTGGGGACTGGGGGAGGTGAGCTGGTACACTGGACATGTGTAGATTGTTATGGCTGTGTTTCTTAGGAGAGCCAGTGCCTGCACACAACTACTGCACAGAGGGGTGCCACAAGCACTGACAACGCCATTTGAGCTTCAAGATGAAAGAAGCACCCTAGAACTGAATCACAGCTACTCCACAAGGTTGACGTTCCTGGATACTCGGGCTTTCCCTGGGCAGGTTTTCAAAAGGCAGTTTACGGACCGCATTAGAACTGTGCGATCTCTAGAAGCAGGCCTGTCTTGAAGATCTACTGTACTCCCTCGTCAGAATCCCCTCTCTTTTGCGTTTCATTTCTCTAAGTGCCTCAGGATGAGTGCTGCTCATTCCCTGTGATTCACCACCCACGGGCTGCTCAGGCTATCCTGGAAGGTTCCCTTTAGGGATGTCGATTTCCACCAAGACTGAATTCCTATCTCCTAGCAACAGAGCCTTTGAAGTAGGCTTTTACCATCATTTCCTACAGTTCAGTCAGTTTACCCCCACCCCAAAATTCACCCTGGTTGTTACTTCTCCAGATTCAATTGCCCTTACTCCCCTCAGGATGGAGAAATCTGTAAGACACATATACAGCTGACTTCCTAACAGAATGAGATGGTTTTGGCCTTTATATGCATGGTAGTATCTTTTTTCTTCAAAATATTGTTTTTATTAGATTATAATGTCTTGTGGTCAAAGATGGTGTCATATACATTCCAAACATCCCTAAGAATACCCTTCCCCAGAGCCACATTCCCAACTCCAAGAGACTCCATTCACAGCCCAGAGGCACAGGCTGCAGTCCCATGTGAAGGAACCCTGCCTAACACACAGCAAGTGAGCAACAAGGATTGACTGAACTCTTCCCCATGCTAATGAATGGGTGGTGGGCCAAAATCACCCAAGATACCTTGAATGGGTCCATAATTTTAAATTTTTAAGTTTAAATTTCAGGGGTTTTTTTGTTTTTTGTTTTTTTGTTTTTTTGAGGCAGAGTTTTGTTCTTTTTGCCCAGGCTAAAGTGCAATGGCACGTTCTCAGCTCATTGCAACCTCTGCCTCCTGGGTTCAAGTGATTCTCCTGCCTCAGCCTCCTGAGTAGCTGGGATTACAGGCGCACACCACCGCACTGCTAATTTTTATATTTTTAGTAGAGATGGGGTTTCACCATGTTGGCCAGGCTGATCTCAAACCACTAACCTCAGGTGATCCGCCGACCTTGGCCTCCCAAAGTGCTGGGATTACAGGAGTGAGCCACCATGCCCAGCCTAAATTTTAGTTTTAATACAGGTTTGTCTAATATTGTCAGAACACTGAGCTATTTCATCTTCTGGAAATCTCTTACCTACTCATTCCTGCCCATCTCTAACTGTCCAAATTTTGCCCATTTTTCAATGTTCAACTCACATGGCCCCTCCTCAGTAAGGCCTTGTCATTTATTCAGTGTTTTTTTGAGTATCTGCTATATGACAAACACCATGCTAAGTATTGAGGATATGTAGTGGTAAGCAAGTTATATCCATGGTCCTTGAGTTCATGGGACTTAAGGCAATGGAAAAGACATTAAACAGTCGTTGCATAAATAATGATTTAAATACGATTTTGACAAGCGCAAAGTTGGAAAGGACAGAGAGCTGTGAGAGTGAATGGCATGGGTCCTAACCTACTCTGAAGAGCTGGCAAACAATTCTCTAAGAAAGGGATGCGAAGCTGAAACCATGAAGATAGAAAGAGGAGAGGGCAGAGTTCCTAAAGTTCAAGTCCAGGAGATAGTGTGTGTTCAGGCCAGGAGGTAGGAAGGATCCAGCATGCTCAGTAAACCAGAGAAGGCTGGTGTGGGGAATGTGCTGTCAGAAGCCGGGGAGAAGAGTGGTGGGAAATGAGAACAGAGAGGAGGGAAGGCCAGGTTATAATCTTCATCCTGAGCACTGTGGGAAGCCACAGGGAGTGGCATGCTTCATTTTATCAGATGCCTGCTATTGTTGAGGGTGAACTGGAAGGGCTCCAGTTGGGTTGGTGGGTGTGGGGAGGCAATGGGTGGGCTACTGCAGCAGTCCTGGGGAATCAAGGGTAGCTTAGCATAGAGAGTGCTAGTAGACAGGGCCGAATCTGAGGGGTATTTACGTGGGAGGACTGATCACAATGATCAGTTCACTTATTGTGGATAAGAAGAGGTACCATGATGACTTCTAGGATTCTGACCTGAGAAATAGGAGAGGACGGTGCCTTTGACTAAGATGTGAACCATGGAGAAAAGCCAGCTTGGGGCTGTTGTTGGTAATTAGGAGCACAGTGTTGGACATATTTAATTTGAAATCTTTACCATCTGAATAGAGATATAGAGCAGGTGGTTGGGCATAAGTTCTCCTTCCTTAAATGTCAATAATCCTTTGATTTTACTTATTGCTGCTCTTATACACGGTTATCTACAGATATGTCTTATTTTTCCCACAGATCAAACATACTTTAGCTGGGTGTGATGGAATAT